GCACTTTTAAGAATAAATGAAAAATGCTTATAATAGTAATTTTTGGTTGCATTCGTTGCTATTAGTTAGGGGGAGTTTATGATTCTTGATGAAAACTAGTTTTATGTTCAAATATCGTTTAAAGAATAATTTGATTGTTTAAACATGATTAATTTTCAATATATGAGTTGCCAATACCACTAAAGAAAATTAATTTAGCATTTTGAGTGTTTAAAATCAGATTTTAGCATTTTTGTGCAGAGGGAATCGATCCCCCCATGAGGGAACCGATTCCCCCTTTGAAGGGGAACCGATTCCCCCCACAGGGGAATCGATACCCCCTTGGGGTTCTGTTAAATCGGACAGAACACCCAAAACCCCAAAATACTCAAACCCTCTTCTCTTCCGCCGTTCTATCTCAACTTTTCTCAAATCTCCATTTTTGCCCCAAATCAACGATATTAATCGGAATTCGATTCAAATATCATCTTCTAAACCTGTTGGAATCATTAAAATCGTGCAAACAACATCAAAATCCCCTCAATATTCATCTTTCAAGGTAAATTTTTCTAAACTCTCTATTTCATTGATTTTGAACATAGGATTAGTTTTTAATTAGTTCTAGGTTGAAATAGTGATCGGGCATTGATTGTTTAATGATTAGAAACTAGATGTTACAACTAATTTCATCAAAAACACAAGAATTTTACAAAATTTTAAAATTTTTGAAATTAAAAAAAATGTTAATTTTCAAATTATTGTGTTTTGATTAAATTATGTTGTTATGAAGACTATATATATATATATATATATATATATATATATATATATATATTGTTTCTCAAAACCATATTTGTCAAAAGTTTTTCAAAAACTTTGCCCAATAGGATTGATTTAGCGAACCTTGAAATATTGAGGACTCAATTGAGTTTTGGGATTAATTGAATTGCATACATTTGTTTTTAAAATTGCAGGTTATCCAATCTATTCCGATTTCCTTTACCATGTCCAATCCTAAACGTGCTAGGTCTTCATCTAGTTGTTCTAGTCGTCAACCAAATTCACCTCCAAATCCTCCTCCTATTCCTCAAAATCCTATTCCAAATCTTGATCCTAACTTGACTATCTAAAATTCTTGTTTCAATCAACCGGGTCCTAAAGATTATCGTTTTTGGTTTTACCAATATTTTGACTCGTATAAGATTAGGGAAGAACGTATCCCATCTCTTCAAGTTATGGTTGCTATTAACTTTAAATATCTCCCTATCTTGCACGAATAGAAATTTGATAAACTTTTCGAACTTGAACCCGTTGTCTATCATCAACTTGTTTGTATCTTCTATTGTAATGCCGTTTGTATCAAAAATCGTGACAAAACCAAAACCATAGGAGTACGTTCCTACCTCCTAGGTTAATATTTCCATCTTGATCTGGCTTACATAGCCAATGCCTTAGGCTTGGATAATGAAGGTTTATCAAATGAAAAACAAGTTTTAGGCTCTCGATATAAACGAAATGATAGTGCAAGTGTTCTAGATCTTCATGAGTGTTTTCTTCATCTCATGATCACTTGGTGGTTTCGACCATCCGGGGGTCGTTATTCTACTCTCAGAGCTTTAGATCTTTGGTGGTTGCATTGTTTTTGAACACAATATAAAAATAAACCTTTCCGAGATTATCTTTGCTGAGATTGTTGAAACCGTTAACCTAGTGCCAAATAAGAAACTCTGTTATTCACTAGTTTACGGTTGTATCCTTAGTAATCTCTTTTCTAAAGCCGAGCTTCGAGTTGGTCTAGATGCCTCCTTTCCTCTTAAGAAACAAATCAATCTTCTTTCTTTAACAAGAGCGGGATGGGTCAAAGATAAAGAAACCGGTGAATGGGTTCGATCTTCTGCAACTACTCCGGGAGCTAGTTCTTCACAAGCTCCACTCGAAGCTGACGAAGATCCAGAGTTTGAACAATTAATAAGGGATATCGATGAAGCCGAAGATGAGCCTGAGCAACCCGAGGAGCACGCACAACAATCAACTCAAATGCCTCCATATTTTCAATCCTTTATGGAGACATTTGATTTCCGATATGCGACCATGGATTCGCGCTTTACTTCTATAGAGTCCCATTTATCCACAATAGGAGCTCAACAATTAGAGATTCTCCGAGAGATGCGCACAAACAACGCTTCGATGAATGAACGTATTAATGACCTCACTAACGAAATGGCCGCTATGCGAGCTCGTTTTCCTCCTCCTGATCCGGATATGTGATTAAATGTTTTACTTTGAACTCCAAACTTATTGTTTTAACATTTTGAATATTTTGGAATGTTTGAATTTGTGAATTGATTGATTGTGAATTTGTTTGGATTTATGGATGGTATGAACTTATATGTTTTGTGTGATTTATTCATTATTGCATCATTTACTTCATGTTAGATAAATGACCAATTTTGCCATATCACATTAAATATGAATATTGATTATGAAGCTAATGGCTAACGTTTCTCTTGATTGTGATCTTAGCAGCTTATGCATACATATACCTAATCAATTAGCTAAAATTTTTTTCACGTTTCTTTGAATCTTTTTGATTTAACAAAAAGGGGGAGAAGTGTGTGTTTTAAGTGTGTGTTTTAAAATGATAAATGGGAGAAGTGTTAAAGTAAGGGGGAGTAATTTCAAAACTTGATTTCAAAATCTTAAAATTACTAAAATGTTTTGTTATATCAAAAAGGGGGAGATTGTTGAAAACATTTTGATATTTCGATATAACAAATTAAGTTAAATGAATTTTAAGATTTTCCAAATGATTTTCTAAGTATATTCGATATAATTATTCGAATATCAAAACATTACTCCAAATATTTCAAAAATCATTTTTAATTCTTACTTAAGTGTAAAATTAAGTTTTAATCTTAAAACAATTTCAAAATAATCTTTCAAAGTATTTCGAACCATTTCAAAGCCAAAAATTCCAGATTGCTCAGAGGGAACTGATTCCCCCCCAAGGGGGTACTGATTCCCCCCTGAATGGTTTGGCTCCGAGATTTCCAGAATGCTCGGAGGGAACCGATTCCCCCATAGGGGGTACCGATTCCCCCCTATTCAACGGTCGAAATATTTGAATTTTACACTTAGGGAACCGATTCCCTATGAGAGGGTACCGATTCCCCCCACGCTCCAAGCATTTTTATTAAATGTTTTTCACACTTAAACGGCTATATTATCTTCATTAATCATCCCTAACGTTCAGAAGTGATTCAAGGTATATTTAAGCAAGCTTAGAAGCCATTGATCAAATACAAGAAACATCAAGCAACTAGAATCAAGAGAGAATCAAAGAGAAAGCATCAAACCTCAAGTTTGAGCATTTCAAGCCTATTTTCATTCAATATTCATTTTGCTTTCAAGAACACATATTGTGCTCAATTGTATTCATCTTTGAGTGTTCTTTTCTTTGTTCTAGAATTGTGCAAACAATCTACCTTGTGAGGTTTTCCTTGTAAGTTTGCAAATTTGTGTATTTCTCTTTGAAAAAGAGTGTGCTCAAGAATTTGGGGTATAATTCTTGAGGGTTTGTAAGGTTACTCTTTGTCCTCAAAAGAAATAACAAATTAGTGAATTTGTTGGAAAATCCTTAGTGTGGATAGCTAAGGTAGTGGACGTAGACTTTGGTTGATAAAGTTGAACCACTCTAAATCGCTGTGCAATTACTTTTAATTTTCTGCAAAAGCTTCCACCAAAACTTTAATTGCCAATTCACCCCCCTCTTGGCCATATTCGTCGATCGATTAACTCAACATGTCTCCATCATGAGCAACGTTATCCTCCATCTTGAACTACACGAGCTAATTACGGCTACGAATGAACCTGAATCTGATACTGTAGAGCTTCTTAGAGTATGTGGAGTATTCTAGATAATTAATCTCCACCCTTAGATGTAAGTAATCTCCACTATTCATTGTGGAGGTGGAGTAGTATAAATAGGGGTGAGAGACTTCATTCCTAACCATCTAAGAAATCCAAGCTTGAGAAACTAGAGAAACTATAGAGTTAGAGAGCCTCTTTGAGAGAGAAGAGAGATAGCTTGGGAAGTCTTTATCCTCAAGCTTGAGTGAGCCACCAAGTGTGAGTCAAATTTTGTTAACACATTTGTATAGTGGAAGAATCTCCAAATTGGATAATTATACTCTTGTGCTCTCTTTACTATCCTTAATCTCTAAGTGCCTATCTTAACTTCACGAAGCGGGAAAGTCTGTGATTCCCAACACCATCTGCATAGCAGAACTCGAAGCAACCACCTGCCATCCTGGGAGAAGGCAACCCTCATGCACATATACGTTTTGTCGATACCAAATTTGTGAAAGAAGCACCACAAGAGAAGTAAAGGATCAACTAGTCAAACAAGATAGCATTGAAGCCAGCCATGAACTACATGAAATAAACTCCTCGGAAGTCATAAATGAAGGTAAACCTGCACTAGCGAAGATAGGTTGAACCAGCGGACACTCCCTTAATGCATGCAAAATCGTTTCTTCCACTGCCCCACAAAATGCACTGCCCATCTGAAACGCCAGCAAGGAAAAGACGACGGCCAACAGGCAAAGCCTCATGAGCAGCCCTCCAACCAAAAAGATGCACCTGAGGCAATGTAGAAAGGCGGGAGAGTAAAACCCAAAGAGGAGACACATGCAAATGAGGACGATGTTGACGTGAAAGCCATTCATACCCAGATTTAACCGAATAAGCCCCCAAAGAGTGTCCATCCAAAACTAGAACATCAGAATGAATTGGAGCAATAGGACAATTTAAGATCAAGGAAGCATCGGTAGTTGAAAATTACCTGTCGAACTAACCTCGAATTCCAAAGAGGGGCGCCTGGAATCATGAACTCACCCACTCGAATGGGAGCAGCAGAATTATCGGTATATGTAGACTGAAATGTAACCAGAGCAGTGCCACCCCTTTGTTCGACATGCATCAGAGCCAAACTGTTAATCCCAACCAGCCGAAAAATCCAGGCAGGAAAGTTTGAAGTGCAATAAATATACTTCCCCATACAAAAGGAGGACATTCACCTAGCCTCGTCGAAAGAATATTCCCAGACGAATAATATTTGGCAGCAAGAAATCGGGAAACTAAACTATCTGAATGTTGCAAACAACACCACACCTGCTTACCGAGCGTTGCTAAATTGAAAGATTGGAAGCTGAGAAAACCTATACATATGAATTGTTCTATTTTATAGTAGCCAAGAAACAGTATCGATACCTAATTGAAATATTGATACTTAAGCTATAATTCATTATCATAAGAGAAAATATCGATACATTTTATTTTTTATTGATTTTAAAAGAATACTGAAGCTTAAAATTGTATCAACACATTGATTTAGCATTGATACCAAACATAAAGGGAATCAATATAATTTGTTAAGTATTAATACCTTTTGTTATAAAGTGATAACGGTTGCTTTTTTTTAATTTTTTTATGATTGCTCAAATTTTCTTTGTGCCATTGATAACTTTTAAAGTATACAATATAGTTCCTAAACTACATCATTTTTCACATAATTCAAAACATATAACTTGATAGTTTAAATCATTATTTTATATGTTTTAAATTTATAACGTGATTTAAATAAAATTGATAATTTAAGTATTAAACGCATAGTTTATCCTAATTTATATTTATTAAATGAATTGTATTGTAGGGGTAGAAACAAACTATTTGTTGGACAAGAGGAGTTGTGATCCCTCAAAATTTTTAATATAATAATATTGTAGATTTTTATTAATTTAAATATCAATCAATTAAATTTTAATTTTTATTAATTTTTAAATTTAAATACTTATTTTTTTTAATGTCTTCCGATATTTAATCTTGTTGTTGGTATTGTATTGAAATTATTGATGCACTTTTTAATCATTTGATAAGTGGGAAAATCAAATGTTAAGATATATTGATGAAAGGCATATTAAAAGGAAAGTCCAATAATTTATATAACACAAAACAAAAAGAAAGGGAAAATTAATGCAGAAAATAATTTCCAATAATTGGGAACCTGACAACTATGGAGACCCATAACTCATTTTTTTAAGCTAATTTCCAAGTCAAATAAATACTAACAATGTGTCATTGTCAACTAACTAATTTTCCACCCTATTTTGTGGAGACTCGAAATTGTTCTTATAATATATATTATTTGTTTTAAATAAGATATTTTGGTTCAACAGTTCTGATATATTAGGTTGATGGAGTTTATTTAAATTCTTTTTAATTTAAAAATTTTAAGATTTATTAATAACTTTTTTTAAAAAAATAAAAAGGACTTAATTAAAAGAAATAAAAGCTTAATGAGCATTTTTAAAAATATCAAATATTAATGCCGTTACAATGCAAGGGGTAAAAACTACAATTATAAATATTATATTTGGGTCAAATTCTTATATTTGTTCTTTTACTGTATATAAAATATAGGTTTGGTTTTTACTTTTAATTTGATCGATTTTTATTTTTGACTCAAATACTATAAATAAAATTTAATTAAGTTATAGAGTCCTGGAATGATTAAATTAGTTAACATAAATTTAATTTATAGATTATATATAATATAATAATTAATAACAAAAATTGACTTTATTACTACATGTGAATTTTTAGTCCTGCGAATCCCGTCCATGCAAACATAAGACTTATTTGGACCTTCATATATATGGATCATACCCTAATAATCTAACGTGCCAACCACCTACTATCCGTGCTTACACAGTTTACAAATAAAATCGGAGCTCCCTTCAGTCTAATACCCCATACTCTTATTTTTCTTTCTTATTCTTTGAATTTCCTCTCTTGTTTTCACAGTTTGTTAACAATTTTCCTTTTTCTAATCTGGGTTTTGCTTCTTTTCTGGCGGGAACTCCTCAGTTAGCGGGGAGAAACCAACTTGCCTCTTGTGTTTCCATTTTGTTCTGTAGAATCCCGAGGAGAGGTGTTAATTAGATAGGGAAGTTTTGAATCTAAAATTAATGGCGAACCCACCGGGGAACCATCAACAGGAAGCAAATCACGCGTCATCTTCTTTTAATGGAGCTCACTTGAGCGACGGGAATCCTAAACCCGAGACATCGGGTTCGTGTTTGAAGCATAATCCTGTTATTTACTTAGATTGGACCTTGGAAGAGCAAGCTATACTAGAAAACGGGTTAAAAAAGTGAGCTTTTTTTACTCTCTTCCCCCCCCCCTCTTTTGGTTGGCATGGAATTTGGGGGGTTTTGGTAAAATTCTATTTTGTCAATTTTGAATTTTAACTCCTGGGAATGTGATTTTTATTGACTCAAACTGTTTGGAATTATGTAAGAAGAAAATAGTCTGCGTTTGTCACTATTGCTGTTTTCAGTTGCGTGGTTGTGAAATAACGGTTTTGGACGGCACCTTCACCACTATATAATGACCACTATTCCAATACCAGACCGCTATTTAAATCCCTGGTCTGCATATCTCAGTGTTTAAGTGTATGAATGGAAGGGAATGGAATGTTTACCTGCTAATAAGCATAGGAGCAACATACTTATATCCATCGTTGTTCCTTGCTGGAATTTTAATGGAGATAGAAGTCTGTTGAATGCGAGTCTTGTGTTTATCTGAATTCTTTGTTAGTTGTTTTTGATAATCCAATTGCTGCTTTTCCACATTTTACTGAATGAGCTCATTATTAGCCTAATTTATTTATAGTTCTTCCTTTTGTTGGTATTAGGAGACTGCAAATTTTGATTCTGATTCTATTTGTGTGACATCTCGCAGATTTGCATCAGAGCCGAGCATAATTCGTTGTGCAAAAATAGCTTTGCAGTTACAAAATAAGACTGTCCGGGATGTCGCTTTGCGATGCAGATGGATGACTGTAAGTTTTGCTGTTCTCATAAGTATCGATTTAAACTCATCATCCAACTGTTTGACTTACATATTTTCTTAAGGAAGAACATAATATAGCCAGGAAAAGTAAAGACAAAAAGGTATTATTTACTGGTTCTTTCTTCTGTGTGCGAAGCTGTATTTATTACCATTTTCTTTACTCTGATGACTCTGCTTGGTTGGTTAACTGTTAGAATGCAAGATATTAGATATCATTAGAAAAGTAAATCATCACTCTCTCTCTCTCTCTCTCTCTCTCTCTCTCTCTCTCTCTCTCTCTCTCTCTATCTCTCTCTGTGACACTGATATGCAGAGACTATATCTTATTTATTTTTCTATCTTGTCTTCACTCTGGCACATTGTGAATGACTGCTTCCATTAACACAGGAAACATCTCTTATACATGCAAGGTAGTGGAGCAAAGCTCATTGACCATAGGGAGGTTATTGAGTTTAGCATAGTATTTTACATTTTCATGGTAGAGATGTTTGATGGAGATTTAATTAGTACCTTGGCCCAGAAGCTGTTTCTTTGGATTTTTTATTGGTTATCTTAGGTTCTTGTGGCATGATCATTACAGTATGATTGAATCACAGTACGGTGCATTTTTATCGTTGTCTTTCCATCATCTTTTCATTGAGGCTTCTGTTGGAAGATTCGCATTGGAGCATTCTTCATGTATGCTGATAAAACATTTTCTACTGTACTTAATCTTTAGACTTGGAATATATTAGACTTAAGTAAAAAGAATTTCTTTTGAAGTTGCCAATTCATGATAATATGTTTCTGATATAAATAGAAAAAAGTAAATATGTATAGTTTATGAGTTACGACTATGTTTTGGACCAAAAGATGCTTAGGAATATCTTTTGCACTTGTTTTCAGGAAAGAGTTGCTGATACTCCGGCAAAGCGTACCCATTTTGCAGCTCAACCTAATCTTTCTCCATATGCACCTCCAATGATACCTATGGACTGTGATGATGGCATTCCATATACCAAGGTTAGATTATATCTTTGAATATTTCTATAGTTGCCTTTCGGAGCTTGGGGTTTAGAGATGTGCTCTGTTGTTTCTTTCGTGCAATTGCAAGTTTTACTTTCTTTCTTTTTTTATAAGAATAGTAGGCCTCATTAAAAACCCCCTTCATGATTAATGGAACTCGAAAACAGGCAAGTTTTACTTTCTTAAAAATACTATCTTTTAGCCTGCATTTTTATATTATGTTTACTAGAATGTGTTGCTTTCTGTTTAGTCAAAATATACTTAGTATTGTAGTTGAAGCTTTGTCCTATAAAAAAAAATAGATGAAGCTTTATGTGCATCATCTTGAGGCAGATAAACTGAGTTTCAGTGTTTCATGTTCTATTGCCTCACTAGTTGCATTCAAATTTTAGTTTTTCCTTCAGATGTTGTTTGGGTTTCTGATTTTCTTAATCCTCGCTGTTTATATCATTCTTAAATCTGAAATTAGCCTGAACTGTCTGTAAAAGCTGCTGATTTTTTTTTTGGCAAAAGATGGTGTTTTGAAGGATTAGGACAGTTGGGACGAAGCATTATTTATTTCTCTCCTTATCCTGTGGTGTTTTAGTTGGCATGACCTGTTTGATGCACCTTTTACGATTTGCTATGAACTTCAATAAACTACCGATTTCCATATATACGTTTTGAGGTGTGAATTATTATTAGAATTCATTTAACAGAAAAAAGACAGGTTTCGAGACATGATTAAAAATAGTTTAAAAGATAATTAGTAGCCACAATTATCATTAAACTTATTCTGTTGTTGACCATTGCAACAAATGAAGCTTGAATTTGTATTTATTTATGGTGCCTGAAATTTACTTAGCATGAGAACCTTTGTCTTTTATGATGTTGTTGTTGGAAATTTAAATCGAACGCTGCATTTTGCTATTTCACAGCCATTGGCGGGGTGACGGGCGAACTTTTGGAGCAGAATGCTCAAGCCTTAAATCAAATATCCGTAAATCTTTCAGCTTTTCAGGTGAAATACCAGTGTTATGAATAGATCGATTTTATGTTATCCTTGTAAATATGTATGTGCAAATGACTAGTACCAGGTCCCTTAATGCCATCTTTCCAATAACATTTTGCGGCCGTTCATGTCGATAAACCAAAAGTTGCGATGTTCTTGTTTCAGCTTTATGGGTCTCCCATGGAACTTGTCTCGTTTTTCTTTTCCAGATACAGGAAAATATCGGTCTCCTCTGCCAAACTCGTGACAACATTCTGAAAATCATGAACAAGTAAGTTCCAGTTTTTGCTAAATGCTCATTATTTTCCCCGTCGTACAACGTGCCAGATGGTACGAAAGACTTAATTATATGAATTTACTTAAAAATATAATTCGGGTTACGAAGTTGCTATTTATATAACACCTGATAGTGTTATTAAATGTTGCTCATGTCTCGGTTAGCATCGAGGTTGCCAGACTTGCTTATCATATCATAGAACTATTAATTGTGTGCTTATTGCAGGTTGAGTCTCATGCCAAGTATAATGAAGCAGATGCAAGTACTTCCGGTGAAACTGAAAGAAGAGCTGGCTAATACCATCCTTCCCCGTTCATCTCATCGTATGTTTTTTCACGATCCTCTGCCTTCTGCTTAGTTTCCGATAACCGAGCAGGGGATTGCGGTTGAGCTGATGTAGAAAATAACCGGAGATACGACCGACTCGCCATTTGAGAATAAGTTCTCTTCCCCCCTTTCTTGCATGTACAAGGCATGGTGTTTTCTTGGTGTCTTCATTCTATGGTTAGTTTGTTAGTTCATGCAGGAGAAGGTGATTTAAGGCTTTGCTTTGGGGATATTTATATTTCATAATTAAATCAAGAGTGGAAATATTATATTTTAATTTTTTCTTCTTTTATTGTATTTTTTATATTTTTAAAATTCTACAGGTTTATTTTCAATTTATTGATTTTTAATGACCACTTAAATGAACATTCTTTTATTGCATTCTTTCTTATATTAATAATTTGAAATTAGAAATATAATTTATTAGTATATTACTAACTATTAATGATAATATAAAAATAATATTGGATAGAAAAAATGATTATTTAGTATATTTTTAATAATACAAAACAATTATATTTTGATAAAAAAAAATCAAATCAGCTTTAGTAATTATAATTTTAAATAAAATTAAGGGTCAAATACTTCAAATACCATTACCTTTAAGCATGGGTTCGAAAATGTCACTAACGTTTTAATTTTGTCAATCTTATCACTGACGCTTATGTTTTACTATAATTATGCCATCCCGTCGTTAATCCGTTAACGGGACGCTGACATGGCAATTGATTTCCATAACGGTGATGACATAGACTGATTTATTAAAGTCATTTAATCCAAGTAAGATCCATGTTGACATTTTAACAATAATATATTTGATATAAAACCCTAATTTGAAACTTAAACCTAAATCCTCTCTTCTTTTCTCTTCTCATAAGCGGTATAAATCACTTATTTTCTCTTCTCATAAACGGTATAAATCACTTCTCTTCTCTTCTCCTTTTCATAAGCGATAGAAACAAAAAATCACAAGGGTTACACATAAACTTCCCTGATATGGGTGTCAATCCTGTTAGTTACACATACAACTCCATTATGAGTTTATTTCTCAAGAAAGGGTATATTAATGAGGTCTAGAATGAGGTCTAATGGTGCCCCTGTTGAAGCACTCAGGGAACAAACTGAGGCAGCTAATGAAGAACATGTGCTAGCTGAGTTGGCTCAGATTGAAGCTCTGAAAGAAGCTGGAGAAATCGAAGCCCAAAAAGTGAAAGAAGCAGGTGAGTTCTCGCTTTCGATGGAGGTAACAAAGAAGAAAAGGATTAACATAATTGAAGAGGAGTGTAACCCCCAAGACTCGGCCTAAACGTTAGGCCCAAACCTAGGCGGTCACATGTCGCATTCAGAGATTTTTTTCATATTTAAAACAACGTTAAAATCCATATAAAAGATTCATATGATAAACATATATGTATACATATGTCAGAAAATTGTATAAAACATATACATATCAAAATATCGTAGAAAACTATATAAAACATTTACGGAATAAAATATCGGTAATACAAATATATCAAGACGGTAGCAAAACACATGTCACCAAAATATAACTGAAAGACATATAGAGATATACAGTAGTACAAAAGTAAGAGTAGTCGATCCTCCTGATGCCAAGTCTGCTAGTCTAGTATGCTATTATCTGAAAAGGTTAAAATTTACGGAATGATCTAAAAAACTCAGTGTGCTCTTTACGGTATGTAAAAACATACAAATAAAATATTTCAGAAAAATCAGTTTATCAAACATGTTTTAAAAACATCAACACTACCCCCATCCGATCATCAGAATGTGTAAGTTCCCCATAACTATACACTCACCTGTACACCCAGTAAGGGCTTACCCTGTGCACAAAGCAGAGGAGCCTGCAGTAAGCGGTAAGGTCTTACCCTTGCACATAGCAGAGGAGCCTTCAGAAATGGTAAGTTCCTACACTTGCACATAGCAAAGGAGCTTTCAGAAACGGTAAGTTCTTACCCTTGCACATGGTAAAGGAGCCTTCAGAAACGGTAAGGTCTTACCCTTGCACATAGCAAAGGAGCCTTCAGAAATGGTAAGGTCTTACCCTTGCACATAGCAAAGGAGCCATCAGAAACTTCCTCCAATAATACCCCAAATGATAGTAATAAACATATATGTATTCGAGTGAAAACGATAATTAATCTATTACATGAAAATGTTTCATGCTTGGAAATCATATACAAAAATACAGTAATCAGAAATCAAATCAGTAATATACAATAAATCATATGTCGGATAAGCAGTATTAAGAAATTAGGTATCATATCGTAAAAATATTCAAAATTATCACAAATCTGAAACAGTTCAAATGGGTAGTTTAAAACAATAATGTAACACCATCAGGAAACACACATGTATCGATCTGAGTAGTTTGATAGGGAAGCTTACTACTGAGTTTGTTGATCACGATCAGCGGCAGCGCTATATCCTACAAATCGAAAAATCCATATCAGAATCCTAATATGAATAATATTAACCTTTCTTTAAATAATTTATGAAAACCTACGGGTAAATCTCATAGAACGTGGATAGAGAAAATCTGACGGACGGGAAACAATGGGCCTAACTAACCCTCGGTAAGGTGAAACACGAGTATCTTCATTAAAATATCTTATTGGATCAATTCCATAACCAAATCTCAAATAAATAAGCAAAATGCTAAAAATACTAAGCATTTTTTGGTTAACAATCTCGATTCAGGGCTTTCTGGTCAAAATTTGACAAAATGAAATTCGAAATCGGACTCAGGACATCGAAAAACACAAATTATGATTTTTCGAAAATTTTGACTTTTTGGTCAAAGTCAACGATCAACATTGGACCAGGTCGGATCGGGTCGGGCAGGCGAGTCAGATTAGCGGGTCATGTCAGACAAGGGTTAGGTCGGATCGACCCATTCCAAGCAATCCACCCGGCAGTGGACTTTCCCCACACGCAGGGGCGGCGTGTGGGGGCGCGTACGACATCCTAGAGGGTCTAAAAAATCCATAAAAATTCATACAACTATTTTAAGGGGTTTTGAGACTCTTACCAAACTCGATTCACAACGATGAACGGCAGAGAACTCGATTTCGAAATGTCAAAAACTTGATATTCCTCACCCCTCACACGCCGGCGACAACGAAGATAAGAAGGACATCGGTTGACTAGGGATGACACAAGGAACACGATGGTGCAGGAGGTGTTGAAAACGAAGCAACGGTCGACGATGAATCGACGATCAAATATTTCTTCTATAAGAGGAAATGTTCTGGAGAGAGAAAATTTAATAAAAATTCCCCAGATTTAGGGTTATATAACCCTTAAAAAGAAATGGAAAAATCAAGCCATAAGTCCTCAATCTTTAGTTGCTTTTTTGAATTTGTATCTAAATTTAATCAAAATTTCACTTTGGTCCTCGAAATTAATCAAAATTCAATTTAGTCCTCGATAAATTTTTAAGAGAATTTTAGGCCTATTTTGGTGTGTGACAAGGTGGATCAGTCAAAAGAGTTGGAAACAAAATTAGGTGCAATTTTGTTTGATTTTAGACACTTACAAGATAAGCAGAAGCAAGTTAAGGGACTAGACAATGTGGTTCCGAGAGGCGATGATGATTGCTCGGAGCAACAAGATGATAGTTTTCATAATGTTGAAAGGTTGGAACCTTTAGTTTCCTTGGAATCAATCAAGAAAGAACTGGAGGCAGCTAAGAAAGACTTGTATTCGATTAAAAATGAAGGTTTTCAGTTATGTCCTCCATGGATATCATAAGAAATGAGCTTAAACATGTTAAAGAAGAAACAGAAAAGTTGAAGAAAACAGAAGAAAAAGCATATTTGAAAGTTAAAAGCCTCAATTCGAAGCTGGTGAGAGCCAAGTCCAACCTGGAAGCAACGAGTGCAGCTAAAGATAAAGCTAAATCGATTGAAACAAACCTTTCCCTCACCCTTGAACAGTCAAAGGCAGAACCAGAGGCATCAAAGAAAGAGAAGGTGCTTATCACCAAAGACATTGAAACTATCAAGGCAGAAATCCAGAAAACGGAGTCCGAAATAGACGTAACCTAGGAAAGATTGCTGGAGAAGAAGACAGTGGAGAAGAAGAGAGTGGAGAAGAAATATACAACTGCAATTTAACATATATATTAGTTTTGCTAATAATATATTAGATTATTAAGATAGCTTGGTGGTTGGGTGTTTAAGTGATAGAGGTTTGAATCTCATGGAAAACAAATTTTCATCAAATGATTCTAACAAAACGACGTCGTTTTGAGTTTTTTTAGCATCAAAACAATTGCGTCAAAACAACGTCGTTTTGGTTAGGAAGTCACATTAGCAACGTCACGGCGTGGAGATACCACATCATCGTGTCGTTAAGCCATTAACAGCGGGGTGACATAATTACAGTGAAACATAAACGTTAGTGATAGAATTGGTAAAATTGAAACGTCAGTGACATTTTCGAACCCGAACTTAAAGGTGAATGGTATTTGAAGTAATTAACCTTAAAATTAATTATAAATATTATTTGACAACATGAAAGCTACATACAAATAATATATCTTATAATCTGAAAAAGTGTTACCATTTAATGTATTGATGATATAAGAAATTTATTTACAGTTGAATTATAATTTTTCAAGATTAACAATGATTTTAATTATAATTTGAAATTCTTCTATTTTATAATAATTTATATATTTAAATTATATTTAATAATTATTTATATTAATTATTAAAACAAAATATTTCATGAAATAATAAAAATAACTAAGTATGTATATTGACATTTAGCACACATGATGCGACTCAAAAAGCAAACATAGGTGTGGAAATGTACATTAAAGGAGGATGGTTTTTTAATTATTATTAATATAGAGTAATTATAAGTGGTAATATATGTTCTAAAGACTCAATTATTTGACAATCAATACTTAAATACCCTGCAGTCGTTGATATTTAAACTTGAGATCTTTAAAGATAATAATTATCTCTTTAACTACTTACATCACTCAATTCGTACTTAAAAGAGGATAGTCCAAGATTAATATACATAGAGTCTATAAATAATATATAAATCCTTAATTTGAAGCATGATTTAGACTTGCCAATCATATAAACGTGACATGTTTTTTTTAAACAAATACAAAACATTATACAAAAAAAAACACGACATCAACTTACAGAATAGTTCTAATAATAAAGAATGACAAATTCATTTAGTGATTTTAGCGGTTTAAGAGAATATTATTTTCTTCAAAGTTTGGTTCTTTTTTGAAAATTCTCTTTTAAAAAGAATATTTTTAAAGGTCTTTATATAAAATTTGAATAAAAAATAGATTCAAGAGTCAATTGAACTAAAGGAAGGTTAAACGCCCCCATGAAACCAAAAATTTAGTACCTTGTTTAAATGTATGTCGTCTCGAATTTTGAAAAGATTCGAATATAAATTTAAATTTAATTTATCCATTGAATGAAAGAAACCATAGTTATTTTATCGATTTTATCTGATGGTTTATTAGTAGTCTAGAGATACCCAGACCTCACCTCTTCACCAAATATCAATATGATACAAAAATCAATATACATCACTTCATCTCGTCGGGACACGAAGTTTAAACACACAACATTCCTCTGTCTTACCAAGACCAAACTCTTAAATGAACTCGTACACAAGTACTATAGACCCTATGAAATATCAATTGTTCCCGAAACTAAACTAATAAGCAGAAACTCGTTTTAACACTTTACTAAGTACAAATATTTTCCATTTAAATTCTCCAATTACTATATACACATTGAAACATACCTTATCACTTAAGTTAATTATTTAGTTTTCGATCATAAATGAAATAATTCAAACATAACTTGCCTAGACCAAAGCACATGATACACAAAAACATCTTAACATAATTGATTTTAATTACACTCGCTTCATCTGAATTTACGATATTTTTTGGATTATCAATGATATATTAAATGTTAAATATTGAAATCCAAGTGATATATAAGGATGCATACCAAATTTATCCATCAAATTCTACTATAATTATCAATTGGGGTAATTGCCGTGCATTATTCATCTTTTCTCTCTCTTTCAATTTTGTCCCGAAGTTTTCAATTATCACTTTTTGATTTTCAATCTAATTCGGATCAAATTATCAGTTTGACCAACTAATCTGAATCAAATATGACCCTCTTTATGATAATTTAAATTAATATTAATAATTAATTTTATGATCATCAAACCCAAAACAGATTTCGATTAACAACTATATGTTATTCCCCAGACATTTAATGATTTCGTGTTCGTTATCATACTTGAGAAATGTTCATTTTTATTTCTTAAATAAACAGTTAGATTGAATGATTCTTCTGTTTTTGGGTTCAATCTGTAGGAATTAAAGGTTAAGGGATGGAAATTTAATAAACGAAAGTAGATAGTAAAAGAGGATTATGGAGAGTCAAAAGCAGGCAAATAAAATATTAGGTAAGAAATAATAGTGGTTTGAATTTGGTCTAATGATCCGTCAAATTCACAATTTGATTTTGTAGCTTTAGATAACGTTTTACTAAAAATATTAAAAAATAATAATATTTTAGATAAGATATTTTATTTGTAGTATATTAAGGCATCCTTGCTTTCAACAATGAACAAAGACAAAGTCGCAATATTTGATTCACGCTCGACTTTGTTGCACAAAAATAAAATGGGTAAATTACGTATTTAGTCACTCTAGTTTCATTTTAGTAGCTTAACATAGAAGAAGTGCTCAAACTATATATATATTTTTCTATTTAGGTGCTTGACTATGGGAGGAACATCCTCTTGACCCCGCCAATTATTTTTTAAATATTAATTAATATTAAAAATATATTTTTAAAAAATACACAAAAAAATTTATCAACCCCTTTAACTAAAAAATGTATTTATGAAGAAAAAAATATTTTAACCCATACTATAATAAATTCCTGGTTCTGACCCTACGTCTAACTTTCTTTTTGGTCAATTTAAGTGCTTAACGTTTTCAATATTATTATTTAGGTGCCTGAATCGTGTTAGACGTTAAAAATATTTTTGTCAACCACTCAAAATATGATACGCGATGCCTTTTAAATTTCTAAAAATTTTATTTTAAAAAAAGCTTAAAATTATTATTATTTTTCAAAAAGTCCCCAAAATATTTCTAAAATCTCAAAAAGTCCCAAAATCATATCTAATGTTAAACATGAGGCACCTAAATTATAGCATTGAAAACGTTAGGCACCTAAATTGACAAAAAAAATTAGGCACCTAAATGGGAAAAAGAGGTATAGTTTGGGCACTTATTTTTATATTAAGCCTTTTTGAAATAATATCTAATGTTACGTTTTTGTTTCATTTCGGTCATCCGTCTTTAAAAAAATAAATAGAACTGTTGACATGATTTTTTTAGTTTTTCTCAATAATGACATGACATTACTTCATGGTGATATATCAGCACCATCATTAAATTTTCAACTGCAAAGGACTAAACTGTAACATTATATATGATTTTGAGAAAAAAAATAGTTGGTGACCAAAATAGAACCAAAACATATTAGAACAACTAACTACGTAGTTTACCCAAAATAAGAAAACGCAGACAAATGACATCATATTGACAAAAAGGCGGACGACCATTTTGACCGCTAAAGAAATAACACAAACAAAAGTTTGGTTCTTTCTTGACTTTTGCAAAGAACATGGAGACAAAAGGAAATTGTTTTGGTTTAAAGCAAATCCATTTCAGACAAACCCAATGAACATACATATATATATATATGTGAGGTGAAGCCGAGAGAGTTGTTTTCATAAGTGGGTTCAGTAATAAACAAATCCCCCAACACTTGGTTATCTGGGGAACTTCAAAGCTTATGGAGATTCTGATGAAAATGGATATGAAATCCTCAAAGTGTTTTTCAGTTTGATGATTTCATTTGACAAGAGTTGAAGCTCGTACATCATCTTCTATTTATCTGGGAATATTTTTGTGGCAGCCATTGCAGAAAACAAGTAGAGGTTTGAAGATTGTAGTGTAAGTAGTTTCATTTAAAACCATTCCCATTGCAGATTAAGCTTCTTCTCTCTGATCTGCCATTGTTGCTTCTTTGAAACAAAAAACTCTTATTCCCTGCATGTTTCTTCTCTCTTATCTGAAATTGTTTTTTGGTTGCTTGAGAGGCCATTGCTTTTACAAAAGTTATGCAAACACTTTGGTATCTTTCTCCATTCACACTTAAACTTGCTTTTATTTTCCCATGCCCAGTTTCTTTTTATTTCTTCCAACTGAAGTTCAAAGCTTGTTGCTATAAAACTTTAAGAAATGTTGATTTGTAGTCTCCATTTTTTGTCTCTATCATGTGTTATCATAGTTTGAGTTGGGCAACTACTTGTTTATTTATGGATAGATTGAAGTATTCAAGTATTTCTCTTGAAATTTTTAGATATTTTTATTAGTAATTTATTTATCTCCTAAAACTTTATAAATAATGCTTTCATTGACGAATAAATGGGAGAATAATTAGGGGCAGTAGTCGCTTCTTTAAAAAAATTAAATTCCTTTTACGTTTTAGATTTTTTTTTTTTGAAGTTTCTATTATAATCTATTTTTATTCCATAAAATTTTATAAATTTAACCTTAATTCGTACTCAACATAAAATTATGCATTTACCCATTGTCGTACTCATATTTAATGGTCCAATCATGGTAGACCCTTGAGGTTGGGTGTGATGGAAAAACAATGGCGTTGATTATTTAGGTTTGATTGTTTGACAGGTTGAAAATGGGGTTTGCAACATTGGTGGTGGTGGTGGTGGTTTTAGCCTTGAATTTCATAGCAATTGCTGCCCAATTTGACTCACCTTCCTCAGGTCAGTTATAATTTCATTTGACTTCTCAATTACTAAGGGTGGAAATATATATATACATATTTCATTGAGAATAAAATCTTGGAAAAAATATTCTTCCTATACAAATTAGAATGGCGAGACTTAAATAAAACCTAAATATTAAATATAAAATAATATCTTAAGCCAATTCCAACTTTAAAATTCTTATTTTTAAGGTGTAAAATATGGGCCGAGCCCAAAAATTATAAGAGGGGGCGAGTCTTGTCTATGATAAATTGGTTTCGCTAAACTGTCAAAATGGTCACTTTTATTTTATAAGTTTTCACTTTTAGTCATTTATGTTATCGATTTATAATGTTCAGTAGCTTATATTATCAATTTATAACATCGTTAGTTTGATGATGTAACACGGTAATAAAAGGATTATTTTTGTTTCACTACACTTAGTCTCTTTAGAATGAAACAATATGATGTTTTTTTAATAATTTGTGGTGATTATAAGGTAATATATGTTTAGATCTTTTTTATCCAATTGACAACACACACACCCTACAGACAAAATTGCTTGAATCTAAAATCTCTAGGTATAATAACATTCTCTTTTATCGTTAAGGTCACTTGATGGATTCCATTATGATACTTTATTAAAATTTTAGAGTCTAATGGTCATCGGTGACAACAACCAATGGTAGTGGTGACTGGAAGACGGTGACAGAAGACTTTGATCAGATTTATTTGATATATTATTTAAAATTTAAGAGTTAAATTAATATTTTATCTAAAGTTTATGAGATAAATATTTTACCTAAAGTTAAGGGGTCAAATTAAAAAATAAACCCTTTTACTAATGCAGTAGATCATAAATTACATTAACATTTCAGTAATCAAAATTTAGAACTTTATAAATCAATAGCATAAGTGACTAAAATGTTATTTTTTAAAATTTAGTGATTATGAAACAAAAGTGACAATTAACGAAACTGATAAATCCATGACTTTTAAGTTTTAATTCGTTGGTTTTGTTTTAATATTGATTAGATACAAATTCAAGCAATGAAGATGATACAGTGAGGGTGGATCCATTGGACAATTTCAACAAGTATAGAGGAGGATTTGATATCACTAACAAACATTATTGGACTGTAATTCTCTTCTCCATCTACAATTTCACATCTTAATTTGATTTGGTGTTAGATCTAAAATGGATTAAAAATTATTTTTGAATAAATTTCCGCTGTTCTGCAGTCAGTTGTTTTTACAGGGATCTACGGCTTCGCAATCGCATTCTTATGGCTTTTGTGTGGATTATTGTACGGAATATATCTCCTGGCAATCGCTTACTGTTGCAGAAGAACCAGAAAACCCAGAACGAAATCGGTCTGTCACAAGCAGTGTTACTTATGGCCTATTCTCCTAGCTATGATCTTCACAATCCTTGCACTGTAAGTTCTTCAAATTCTCAATTTTAATCAATTGGATTGAATAATCTTATGTTACTGAGATTTAAAGATTGAAATCAATTCTGGGGTCGGAAGAAAACCCTGTTTTCGTTTTCAGAGTTGCTTCAGGTTTAGCTCTTGGAGGCACAGTTAGATTCCATTCCGAAGCGAAAACTGTGGCGGACATTGTTATAAGAACGGCAAATGAGGCATCGCAAACTATATATAATACAACGGGAGCCATGAAGGAAATGAGGGATAGCTTGGGAGACACGGATGTAACTGGTCAGGCTTCTACTTTTCTTACGACTACATCTCAGAGAATGGATGTCGAAGCCGATGATATCACGAGACAGGCAAGAACAAACAGGCGATTGATCGAAAGGGGTCTCCAGATTGTGTAAATCCCTCTTGAACTTACTTAGCATCTTGGCATCTATGTTACTCGAATTCGAGTGTGAGTCTTCGGGTACTGATTATGGATCCTTGTATCTGTTTGTTCTTACAGGTTTATAGTGACCACAGTGACTATTTCTTTGAACCTGGTAGCAGTTATTTCTTTGTCAGGTATGTTTATCAATGTTCCAGAAACTTTTCATGATCATGAACAAAATTCATAATCCTTATCGAATTTAGATAATTGAATTGAACAGCTTCGGATATCAATATATAAATCGAATTTAGATAGTTATTTGTCATTGTTCTTTCCAAAGTTGAATTTTTCCTTTTACAGTGACTGGAATTCTGAGAATTCGACGAGTACTTTACTGGTAAGACACTTGAGCATTCATGAGCTTGAGATTCTAGTGAATGAATGATCAAAGGTGAGAAAATTTGGTTGAAGATTTTGATTTTTTTCCAATCTTTTTCAGGCTAATTGGAATGTGTTGGATCTTGACAATTCTATGCTGGTTGTTCTTTGGGGTTTATTTCTTCCTGGAGAAGTAAGTGCAAGCTTCATATTTATCTGGTTTGCTCAATCTATTTGTTATTTTCTCTGGATTTTTCCAGGTTTGGTTGAATTGAAAAACTCAAAAACAAATGCTTGAATTGAATTCCAGGTTTTCAGGGGATACATGCACTGCTCTCGAAAACTTCCAAGAAAATCCTTACAACAACACTTTGAGTTCAATCCTCCCTTGTGATGAATTGCTGTCTGCAGAGTCAGTCCTCTCTGATGTTAGTGCTGGAATTTACAACCTTGTTAATGCGGTAATTCAATCACATTTGTTGTTTTACTTCATATGTTTAATCTGAACTCGAAAATTAACCTGATTATCCTAAATCCAAACTCGATATAGACTTGTGCAACGACATGAACCAAACTAAACAAGAAATGATTTAAACAGTTTAATGAGCATTATGATTTCAATTCTTCAGGTGAACTCAAACATATCTCAGCTGCAAGCAACAACATATCCAACCCTTTCTCATGTTTGCAACCCTTTCTCTGCACCACCGGAATATACATATCAGCCAAATAACTGTCCTGCAAATACGATCAGGATCGGCGACATACCAAAGGTATGCAATCGGTCATCCGGTTTCAGGTTCTGTTATGTTGTTCTTATACATTACTCCTACCCGATATTTGTTTCGAGTTTAACACATCAGTTAAATCTGACACTGTCGGTTAAAACGGATATCAGTGACTAATTGTCTAATCTGTTCGCAGATATTGAAAGTATTTACTTGTTCGGATGCCAACAATGGGACCTGTCAAAAGGGACAATTCATATCCAGCAACGATTACAAAACAGTCGAGGCCTACACAAGTTCGATTCAAAACCTGCTAAACGTTTATCCAGCATGGCATGGGCAGCAATGGTTCTTCTCTCCGTCGTCATGGTAATTTTGGTTCTCGTATGGACAGTGGAAGCTCGCCATGATCAGGAACTTCATTTATCAGACATTTCATCCAAACCCGAATCTCAAACAACGGATTCATCAGAATTACAAAAGAATAAAGAAGTGATAATGAAGCATCACTCAACAAATCATGATTCAGTTTAAAAGCAAAAACACTGCAGAACTCAAGATTTGATACCTTGGAAGACAAGGCAAGGCAGCAGCTTCCAGAAAATACAAGTTTTGTACAGGTAGAGATACAAAATTAATTAAATTGAAATGATGATAGAGATAGATAAAGAAATATAGAATACAAGGGCCATTTTGTTTGGCCTGATTTAAAGTTTAGAATTTGTAATTGATTGCAGATTCTTTCCTTTAATTTTATGTACTGCCAAATCCGGGGATCAACCCCTTCATACAATGTAAACATATACTTGCAGAGAAATAAAATGAAACAATTGCCAGAGATTTTGACCCGAATTCGATGTGGCATAAATTAATAAAGATATAAAGTTAAGAGATAATTGAGAAAAGTAAGAAACCGATCTATTTTAATCGTTCATTAAATTCAATGATTAATTTCAAAACTGCTTGTTTAGCCTCATAATATGTCCATTTGCCTTAAATTGATATCTGATATTTACATAAATTTAACAAGAACCACCCATCATATTTTAGAATAGAAAAACGATAATAATGAGAAACATCAAAAGTTAAGATAATGTTAAAATAATTAAATACTAAGTTTGAAGAATAAAAAAAGATTGTTTATTGTGTTGATAACTTATTTGTTAGAGTTTGACCCGAATTTGGATAAATATATAAAATTAAGAAAAATTAGGAAAAAAATTGAGAAACCTATCTATTATATTTTATGTGACAGGAACTGCACTACATGACAAAATGAAGTACATATTGAAAGAACCGATGAACGTAACCATAAAAAGAACCAGCAGTGACATCAAGCATAAAAGGTCAAGTTGAGCGCAGCATTCAACTTGTGAAATCTGCCATTTTCCCAAGCTGGAACACCCAGAGAAGATAAAACAAATTATCAGTTCATCACAAAAGGATAAATTTTGAAAGAAAAATCCAAGTTAAAGATGATGAAACCATGCTTACCTAAAGGTTTAAAGTAGACCCACCGACGCTTTTGATGCTTCTTACCAGAGATGTTCATTGCGAAAGATTTTGCTACAAGGCAACAAACATGGCAAGTGCCGTTTCGATTTGTTTATTCTAATTTACAGGAAGAACTGCAGATGATTATTTTTGAGATGCAGGTGCAGTTTCACTCAATGATGAAGCTAATCGAAGCATAAGAGGATATACAGGACTGAACTCCTTGTCTCCTCTAGCCCTAACCTTTGCAGCATAATCATCCAGTGTTGCCTTGATTCCTTTCCAGATCTGATCTTCCCCTTGAGAATCCAGCCACAACGAATATTGCAAATGTGTAAGCTTGTTCCTCTGCAGCGGTGATTGCAAGTCTTCAGGACCTCGGGAATAGAGATGATGCAGTATGACACTTGATGGTAAATCTTGAAGAAGAGGAGATGCTCCTAGTTGAGAGGTTTCCAAGAAGATTAGTGGCCTGAATGCTCGAAGAGCTCGGTATGGTGCACCTAGTTGTTCAACTGGGAACAAATTTTGGCCTACAGCTAATTCCAGCTCAGCCATGTCGTCTCTGGCCATTCTCAGCTTACCTGACTCCGAAAGAGGTCTAACAAGAGAAGCATGCCTGATAAAGAGAATCAAAACCCTTGAAGCCATGCTCCTCACATGCCTAGTGCTATGGTTTCTGTTCCTGCGGTTGTTGCATTGGCTGAAGATGGCAACAGCCTAGATAGGAACTCACGAAAAAAGTGAAGAATGCACTTTTGCAACTCCTCCATGTAAGGCCATTCTCAGCTTACCTGACTCCGAAAGAGGTCTAACAAGAGAAGCATGCCTGATAAAGAGAATCAAAACCCTTGAAGCCATGCTCCTCACATGCCTAGTGCATATGGTTTCTGTTCCTGCGGTTGTTGCATTGGCTGAAGATGGCAACAGCCTAGATAGGAACTCACGAAAAAAGTGAAGAATGCACTTTTGCAACTCCTCCATGTAAGGCGAAGCATTATTGTCCATAGCGGCATCCATGCCCAGTGCGGAAAAGTTCTGGTCATGGATTTGCAAGATGCAAGATTCAAGACGATCGATCATTGCCTGGAACAAGGATGTTATAGTCTCACGAGCAACACCATATATTGCACCAAGTGAAGGTGACAACACATCTGCATAAATAGCTGGAAGCCCCATGATCATAGAAGTTCTGCGTGTATGAATTTCTTGTAGATGCTGACATAATGCAAAGCTCTTGAACTGAGCTGCAGTAGCAGGACCAGATAATTGGCGGGCTTCAGGACCAGTTGATATCTGCCAGTTTAACAAAGTTGAATACACGTATTATTTCATATATATATATATGTGTGTTTTGTATGCGACAATTATGTACTTTAGGACACACACAGAGTTGTATTAATTGGTATACTATTATAAGATTTGGCGAAGACTTTTCAGGGTTTCGAGGAAAGGAAACCTTCAGAAATCACCAATGATATTAAACTGATCACTAATAGAAAGATCAAGTCCATGATTAGATCAAATACAGCACCAGAGAATGCCAAAGGTTTATAATGTCACCTAATACCTACGATGTATGCCTAAACAAATTATCACACAAAACAATGCATTTTATACTTGTAAGGCAAAAAATTACGACATACAGTCAGAAAAGCTGAAAAAAGGACAGGGTAATTGTTTTAACTAGTTGCCTTACCAGATGGATCATTGTAGTGTAGAATTGAATAAACATTATCGGCATAAACACATTGGAAACCGCCTATATTTCTCGAGTTCAGATTTTAGAAATAACAAAATAGTGTTGTAACTTTTAGTGAATGCATTCATTCGATGATATAATATTTAAATGTTACCCCATGCAGTTACGTCATGAATTGCAAAATGATGTTATAGAAAATATGCAACATAATCACACTGAGACCTGATTTCCCAATTATACCAAAAACATACAACGACACAGCAGGGATGAAACTAACAAAAACTTGTATAGACAAACCATAGCAGATATAGTAAAGGCAATGAAGCAGTGTTCATTCTCCCCTACCCTGATCCCAATTCTAAATCAGGGATATAAGTATTTAGCGTATACTAATGTATAATTCATCTCATAGCAGATATTTCAATTCAGCAAGAAAAAGAGATTTTGCACAGGAAAAATGAAATACCAGATATTCAGCTCGTTCTGCGATCAGCAGCAAAACCTTACTAATTTCACACAGCACAAGAAGAGTCAATCGAGCATCCAATTGAACAGCTTCGACTTCTTCCTGTATGCGAGAGAGAATTCTAGAGATCTGTTCTTTGGAAGGAACACTACCACGACTGGAGACTGGGAAAACAAAATTAACATCTGACAGACGGCTTAGGCAGACAGCCAAGAAAGCCATCTGGAAAGTTTCAATAGCTACAACCATTTGAGCTTTTCTATCATAGAGAAGAGCTTCGGATACCCATTTGTGAATATCTCTTTGAAAAAACTTGATGCAGTAAAAGCAGACTTCATTTGGGTAGCAAAAGACCTAACTAGAGTTTCCCACACTTGATCTGTCAGCATGGGATCACCCTCCTGCACCAAGCAGCATAAATAATTACAGTGAAGCAGGGAAACAGCAGTTACATGTTATGCCATTTCCAATGTTGTTATGACATCCATTTTAGGAAGTAACTATGAATAGAGAGATATAAACATGTAAAAACTTAGGAAAAAAACTGTACATAGGGACTTACTAATGTCTAACACTAAATTAGACTAATTCAATTATGAATAGAATTACCATGACAGAAAGAAAATGAAAATAAATCGAAATGGGGTTACCTTATGACTTCATCAAGCAGTAAGACATGTGAAAAAGGGTCTCTCTTCTTCGACAAAACCCTCTGCAAATGCCAAATTGCAACTGATCCATACAACTCCCCATCCGCTGCCACAACGCCTCTCTTGCCTTCCCACCTCCCCCAATCTGCGGAGTTCCACTCCCCCTAATACCTCCGGGACCGAATCCGCCACCTTCGCCACCAGCTGAAATGGCCTTCATATCCAATGTCACACTCACACTCACACTCTTCACACCCATTCCCTTACATTTATTCACCAATTGCTCCACCGTCCCTCTCAACTCCCCAAGATTGTTGTAAAACACTTGCAACCCAGTTCCCACCTCAGCCTGATTCAGCCCTTCCATTAACTTACCCCCTATTTTTTTGACAGCATTGATTTCCTCGTCGGCCATATCGATACTGCCCAGATCATATTCCTCACACAAGGTCAAGATATCATTATGCAACTGAACAGCCTTGGCATGATCCAACTTATCAGGCTCTGCCTCAGCGGAAGCCATAAGATCTCTTAGCTTTTTGGAAAGACGAATAGCACGTATGGAGTGGTAGAGAAGCTCCGAAGTTTTATGTAAATTCGAGAGCTGGACAGTCTTGGAGAAAATTGAATTATGGGGTTCACAGAGCTCAGATCGGACTCGACGAACCGAAGATTGAAGCGAAGAGATGGAAGATCTAAGAGTGGAGAGGGAAACCTCATTGTTGTTGTGAGAAGATAACAGTGAGGAGGAGAGGGTGGTTGGCAAGGACGTGAGAGCGGATTTGGAAATCGAGTTGGCGGATGGCTTGGAGGAGGCGTTCGGCGGTGGAAGCAGGGGATCCGGAGGAAAGAGCGGCGGAGGAGAAGGTAGTGGAAGAGGAAGAAGGGGAGAGGATTGGGTCTTTGGCGAAAGATTCGAGAATGGAAGAAGGATGAGGAGGAGAAGCGGGAGGGTTTTTGA